GCGGGAATTCGCGAGCCGCGCCGCCAGGCCGTCCTAGCGCCCTGACTTGGGGGGGCCAGGTGATCCTGCCGCCCACTCCCACCCCGCCCCGCCTGGCCGAGCGAATCAGAGAGGACGGCCCAGCCCTTGGAAAGCGGCTTCTTCTCACTCCTGCGGCGGGCCCCCCAGCCATGGCCCCCAGGAGCCCCCGAGACCCCGCAGGGACTGCCCTGCGTCCTGGCCGCCGGGGCCCGCCCTCTGCATCCCGCGGGCAGCCTGTGTGAAGCGGCCTCCCGCAGCCCCCGGCCCCTCCCCCATGGAGGAGGAGGAGGGGGCGGCGGCCACGGAGTGGGGCTCGAGCCCCGCGGGGCCTGTCTGGACCGCGGTGTTCGACTACGAGGCGGCGGGCGACGAGGAGCTGACCCTGCGGAGGGGCGACCGCGTCCAGGTGCTTTCCCAGGACTGCGCCGTGTCCGGCGATGAGGGCTGGTGGACCGGGCAGCTGCCCAGCGGCCGCGTGGGCGTCTTCCCCAGCAACTACGTGGCTCCCGGCGCCCCCACTGCCCCCGCGGGCCTCCAGCTGCCCCGGGAGATCCCCTTCCACGAGCTGCAGCTGGAGGAGATCATCGGTGTGGGGGGCTTTGGCAAGGTCTATCGGGCCCTGTGGCGTGGCGAGGAGGTGGCCGTCAAGGCCGCCCGGCTGGACCCTGAGCGGGACCCGGCAGTGACAGCGGAGCAGGTGCGCCAGGAGGCACGGCTCTTCGGAGCTCTGAAGCACCCCAACATCATTGCCCTTAGGGGCGCCTGCCTCAACCCCCCACACCTCTGCCTGGTGATGGAGTATGCCCGGGGGGGCGCCCTGAGCAGGGTGCTGGCAGGTCGCCGGGTTCCCCCTCACGTGCTGGTCAACTGGGCTGTGCAGGTGGCCCGGGGCATGAACTACCTACATAATGGTGCCCCTGTGCCCATCATCCACCGGGACCTCAAGTCCATCAACAGTAAGTGGTGTCCTCTCCCCAAAACTTCCTTTCATTCCACAGAGCCTTGCGAGGCCAAGCCTAGGTGGTGGGAGACAGGATGAGGGACACCAGATGACCAGATGACACTGCCTGGGGCAAGAAGGGGCCGCAGTATACCTTCAGGGCCAGATGAGGCAGGGAGGAAAGGGAAGCTCAGAAAGGTTGAAGGATTTAGCTGCCTCCCAGGCAACAGTCACAATTGCTCAATAACTGTCCTGGAGCACCTGCATTCCCTGCTGTGAATAGGACAGTTGTAGTGCCTGCCCTCATGGTGCTCCCCATCCAGTCATGATGGGGAAGTTCACCAGGCAGAGACAAAAAGAACTTAGCCTGCCAGGAGTCAGGGTTTCTCAACCTAGCCCTACAGACATTTGAAGCCAGATCATCGTTGCAGCGGGCTGTCATGTATGTGGTAGGTTGCTTAGCAGCATCCTTGGCCTCCACCCATCAGGTACCATTAGTGTTCCCTGCCCCTGCCCCCAGCTCTGACAACCAAAAATGTCTCCAGACATTGCCAAATGTCCCCTGGAGGGCAGAATTGCCCCCAATTGAGAACCACTTCCTGGAGGCCTCTAGTCCTGCTGGCTGAGGGAGGTAAATGGATGTGGCTTGTAGAAAAGTGTCCAGGCAGCTGACAGATTCTCAGATGTTGATTGGTTGGTTAAATAAATAATGAGGCCCGATAGACAGGAAGGTTCCCCTGGACTCATATCTACAGCAAGATGCTTCTATGGCATCAGCAAATATTATGTACCTATTAAGTAGGTACCCACCAGGGACCAAAGCAGCCATGGCTTATGCTCTGATGATACTCACAAACTAGAAATTTTATTTATTCATTCCACAGATATTTCCAGAGTGCTGAGGGCTGTGTACCAGACCCTGTCCTAGGGATACAGCAGGGAGAAATCCTACCTTCCCGGCTCTCCCTTTCTTGCTCTGCCCCTTCTTAGTCCCTTTCATTTTTGCATCCATTTCTTCATTCTTTCATTTGGCATTTGCCAGGTCAGATCATGTGCTAAACCAGAGGGATCAACGTGGAGGATGCCAGCGTGTTCTCTGCCCTCACCTCATTCATACCCAAGCCCGGAAGTGTGAGGGTTCCCTCTTTGCCCTCAGTGCTCACATGTCATCTACTCCTGATTCCTGTCAGTTCTACATCTTGAAATGTGTTTGAATCCACCCACTATTTTTATGTTTGTCGCTGTGCCCCTACCGACAATTGTAAACACCTAGAAGAGAGAGGCTGAGTGTCCCTTGCCTCCCAAGCCTTGCCTTCATATAGCAGCAGATACAGCTTCCAGCTGCCCATGGCCTGCCAAGGCCTGTGCCAGGAATGAGGAACTGATGCTCATGCTCTAGTTCCTCTGAAATGCCAGGCAAATGGAGGCAGGACCGCCCAGCACACTCCTCTTGAAGGCTGGGGCTCCTTCTCAGCCCCCCTTCACGCCTGCTGATGCACAGCACACTCCACACCACGGTTTCTTGTAGCCAGTTCTCCCTGAACAAAGGGCCAGTGGGACTCTGAAGGCCAGGGCTTCCTGCTGGGCCAGTGGGTCTGCTCCATGAGACAGAGGGCACAGGCCTCCACAGCACTGCCTTCCCCGTTTATCCTGCCCCCAGAGAGCTCCTCTTCTGTGTCATTCATTCATTGGTTCACTCAACCTATAATTTCTAAGCACCTACTGTGTACTAGGCAGGTCACAGCTCTGGTCCTCAGCTCCAGGGTTACAGAAGTGAACAAGGCAAGATTCCCCCACCCCATTATGGAACGCATATTCTAGAGAACAGCCATAAATGATTGATAGGTCGATGGATATCAAAATTTCAGAGTGTGTCAGGGGTTCTCAATGAAATAAGACTGACGCTCTTTAGATCGGGTGGCCAGGGAAGGCAACATGTGAACAGAGACCTGAAGAGAGAACCTGGCCTTGCAAAGACCTCCGGAGGGGAAACAGCAGGGCAAATGTCCTGGGGGTGGGCAAGAGCGTGCCTCATTGGAGAGCAGCAAGGAGACCAGAACAGTGGGGGCCAAGGCAGAGGTGGGAGGAAATAAGATCAGAAAGGTAGGGGCCTGGTCACATAGGACTTGAGGGCCATGGTGAGGACTTTGGGTATTTTATTCATGGAAACTATTGGAGGGTTTTAAGCAGGGAGTGAGATGATCAGATGCAGATTTTGAAAGGGAACTGATTTAGGCCCAGCATGAGAGATACAAAAATAAAGCATAAAGCCATGAGGTGTTGTTCCCTCTTCTACAGGGTTTCCACACAAACAACAGGTGGGGACCTCTTGGGGAGGTGGAATTGCAGGCTGGAAAGCCACAGGAGGCTTCCAGGAGGAAGTGGCATTGAAGCCAGGCTTTAAAGGATAGATAAGATTACCAACTGCCTTGGATAATTTACCACTTTCCCTAGCCTTCTGTTCCTTCATCTGCCAAATGGGCATGATAGTAGAATTACATTATTATTACTACTACTACTACTACTACTACTACTACTACTACTGGAGCTGTGGCCAGGAATGGTAAAAGGTGGAGAAATCCAGAACAATGATAGCAATACTCAGAATGATAGCTAACACTTTTAAGGGACCTACTGTGCTTCAGGCAGTAAATCTTTACTATAACACTGGAAGGCAAATACTGTTACCAGCTCCATTTAGAAGAGAAACTTTGGTGTGAAGAAAATAAATTGTTTAAGACTATGTAGCTAAGAAGTGGCAGAGCGTGGTGGCTCAAGCCTGTAATCCCAACACTTTGGGAGGCCTAGGTGAGAGGATTGCCTGAACTGTGAGTTCGAGACCAGCGTGGGCAATTTTGTGAGACCTCATCTCTATAATAAATCAAAAAATTTTCCGGGCACGATAGCAGGTGCCTGTAGTTACAGCTATTTGGAAGGCTGAGGCGGAAGGATTGCCTGAGCCCAGCAGGTTGACCCTGGGGTGGCCGTGAGTGTGCCACTGCAATCCAGCCTGGGTGACAGAGTGAGACTCCAAAAAAAAAAAAAAGAAGTGGCAGAGGCAGGATTCAAACCCAGGTAGCACACTGTACACTTGGGGCTTCTCCGTGTGATGGGAGATAGTAAAATGTCTTAGCAGTTAAGAGATTGGGCTCTGATGACAACATGACTTCAAGTCTTTGTCCCACCAGGTTCTAGCCATGTGATCTTGGCCAAGGGACTTCTCTGAGCCTCCTCTGGCTTGTTAATAAAGATGGGTGGCTTGTGAGTCAATCAAGTAGAGAGCGCTGCACGGTGCAAACATTAGCCCTGGTCATCATTGCAGTTCATAATAGTCCTACGCAGCAAGCAAACTGGACCCAGTTGAGGTGCGTGGCATGTAGCAGTCATATTTTGTCAGGATAATTCTGTATAACAAGCCACCCCCAAAACCAGTGTCTTAAAACAGCATTCGCTGATGCCTGCTCTTAATGTCTGCAGGCCAGCGGAGAGTAAGCTGGTTTAGGCTGGGCAGCAGGAGCTGCTTTGTTCCAAGTGTCTCCCATGGACCAGCAAGCAATCCAAGGCATGTTGTCACGGTGACGGCAGGAGGACAGGCAGACATGTGAGGCCTAGGCTTGGAGCTGGCACCCTGTCACATGTGCCTCGTTCTTGGCAAGTCACATAGCCAACCCAGAGTTGGGGTGGAGAAACACTCTGCCTCTTTAGTGGAAAGAGCTACAGAGTCAGGTAGCAAAGAGTGGGGACACAGGAAGGAATAGGACTGTGACCATGACTGCAGTGGACCACAGGCATGGCAAAGACAAAAGGAAACCCACGTTCATCCCTTCTACTTGTGTTTTGCGGTTCCCACTTCCAGGGTGATTCCAAGACCTTGGCTGTTGGTTTTTGACCATGCATAGAGCTCCCCAGAGCTCAGGTGGAAGTCAGGAGGGCAGAGGGCCCGGGGAAGTACCCTGCTCCCTCAAGGCAGTGAGAGAAGAGAGGGGATGATTCCAGTGAGCAGCGGGCCCAGGTGCTTGGCCCTGCAGCTCACAGGTCTGGGGTGACTCACTTTTCTTCCTACCCCACAGTCCTTATTCTGGAGGCCATCGAGAACCACAACCTCGCAGACACGGTGCTCAAGATCACGGACTTCGGCCTTGCCCGCGAGTGGCACAAGACCACCAAGATGAGTGCCGCAGGGACCTATGCCTGGATGGCGCCGGAGGTCATCCGCCTCTCCCTCTTCTCCAAAAGCAGTGATGTCTGGAGGTGCTGAAAGTTGTGGCCAGGATGGCCTTCAGGGAAGGAGGGAGAGAGGAAAGGAGGGAGGGAGAGGGCAGAGAAAGGACCAGTCTCCACTGAAGACAGCATTGGGGTCTGCCAAAGGGCCTACTGGCAAGGTCAGGCCACCAGACAAGCACCAATGACCTGCTCTGCTAGCACAGGTGGTTACAGAAGAGCCAGCTGGATTAGAAAGAAAGATTTATGAGATACAGAAAGGATGTGGCCCCTCAGACACCACCCCAGTTGTTCAACAGATTGAGACCTTTGGAGGCAACCATTCATTCATTCATCCAGCTGTACTGGGTGCTAGGGATACAGAGTGAGCAAAAATAGACATGAACCCTGTCCTCAGGAATAGTAAGTAGATAAATACACTAGAAGGGGAAAAAAAGCTGTTTTTAAGTTAAGAAAACTGTAAAATAAGTAATTCTTCAAAGATAATAAGTTCACCAGAAAAAGTATGAGTGGCAGGAGCCAGGAAGCTGACAGGAAGGTGCTGTGAGGGCTGGATGGCTACTTTTGGGAAGGCTTTTCTAAGAAATGATACTTCCGGCCAGGCTTGGTGGTTCAACTTGTAATCCCAGCACTTTGGGAGGCCGAGGCAAGTGGATTGCCTGAGCCCGTGGGTTTGAGACTGGCCCTGGCAACTTGGTGAGACCTCGTCTCTACAATACATCAAAAATTAGCCAGGCATGGTAGCTAGCGCACGCCTGTAGTTCTGGCTACTTGGAAGTTTGAAGCGAAAGGATTGCCTGAGCCCAGCAGGTTGATTCTGGAGTAGCCATGAGTGTGCCACTCCACTCCAGCCTGGGTGACAGAGTGAGACTCCAACTCAAAAAAAAAGATACTTCCACTGAATTGTGAATGACAAAAAGGAGCCAGCCACACAGCAGAGTTTGGGGGAAGAAGCTTCCCAGACAGAGGGAGCAGCTATCACAAAGGAGGCACTAAGTTGAGGAAGAGTGGTATTTCCAGAAACAGCAATAAACCCCATGTGGCTGGAGCAAGCAGACAAGAAGGAGAGGTTGGAGGTGATGTGGGAGGGCAAGCTGGAAGGCCCTGAGGGTGAGGCGGCGACTTCAGGTTTTATTTTGAGTGAAGTGGGAAGCCATTAGGGGCATTCATGAGTGATCTGATCTTTTTTTTTTTTTTTTAAGTCAGGGTCTCACCCTGCTGCCCAGGTTGAAGTGCAGTGGCATGATCACAGTTCACCTCAGCCTCAACCGCCTGGGCTCAGACCATCCTTCCGCCTCAGCCTTCCCAATAGCTGGGACTACAGGCATGTACCACCACACCCAGCTAATTTTTTTTTATTTTGTAGAGTTCTTGCTCTGTTACCCAGGCTAGTCTCAAACTCCAGGACTCAAGTGATCTTCCACCTTGGCCTCCTAAAGTGCTGTGATTACAGATGCCAGACCTGATTTAGCATTTTAAAAGCTTCCTAGGCTGTTAGGTGGAGAAAGCCAGTGACCACATACTGTTGCCACCCCCAAAGGCCTTATACTTGGTTGGAGCCAAATCTAGGTCTCTCCATGTACTGTTCCCATCAGTCCCCAGCTGAGGCTGCAGACTGTCCAAGTAGCAAATTAATGAGTATGGAGCAGAGACAAATCAGACAGGAAGTCTCCGGCTCAACCTAGAGCAGTGCAGCAGCCCTTTAGAGAAATCCCAGCGGCTTTATGTCATTTACGGTACAAACATTTACTGGAACCGTATTTCCACTGCAAGGAAGAGAAAACCCAAGGTGAAAACAAACTTTTGTTCTCACATAGAGCCCTGGACTGAGACAGTGCCCCTGATGTCAGGGATGCAGGCTCCTGCTGTGCTGGGGTTCCTCTACAGGGATGCTGTGGATGCTGGACAGGGTAATCCCTCCTTGTGGCATTGTCCCATACTTCTCAGGATGCTACATATCCATGACTCCCAGACACCAGTAGCACTCCCCAGCCATTATGACCCACAAAACAACAGCCCTGTAGGTTTCTGGGGACATGGGAGAAGTGGGAGGATCATGATGAAACTGCTGTTTTTCTTTTCTTCTCTTCCCCTTTTTTTTTTTTTTTTTTTGGTAACAAAGTCTCACTATGTTGCCCAGGCTGGTCTCATACTGCTGGGTTTAAACAGTCCTCCAAAGTACTGGGATTACAGGCATGAGCTACCACAACAGGCCGAAAACCACTGTTTTTTTCCTCCACCTTGTATGGCCTCCACTCTCAGCGTTGCTTTATGATTCAAAATGACTGCTTGAGCTCCAGCGTTTATGTCTACATTCCAACCATTAGGAAGGAGAAAAGAAGAAAGGGGCTGGGTGAGGTGGCTCATGCCTGTAATTCCAGCACTTTGGGAGGCTAAAGTGAGAGGATCACTTGAGCCCAGGAGTTTGAGACCAGCCTAGGCAACATAGCAAGACCTAATCTCTACCAAAAAAATTAAAAATGAAAAAATTAGCCTGGTATGGTGGCACGTACCTGTAGTCCCAGCTACTTTGGAGCCTAAGGCATGAGGATCGCCTGAGCCCAGGAGGTCAGGGCTGTGGTAAACAGTGATCATGCCACTGTATCCCAACCTGGGCAACAGAGACCTCCACCTCAAAAAAAGTGACCCGCTCTGCTCTTCCCTAGCCACTTGGATTAGAATGAAAGATTGATGAGATACAGATAGGATCTCATCAGTGGGCATGGTGGCTCACACCTGTAATCCCAGCACTCTGGGAGGCAGAGGCAAGAGAATTGCCTGAGTCCAGGGGTTCAGCCTAGGCAGCTTGGCAAGACCTTGTATCTACAATAAAATTTTTAAAAAGTAAGCTGGGTGTGGTGGCTCGCACCGGTAATCCCAGCACTTTGGGAGGCGGGAGCAAGAGGATTGCCTGAGTTCAGGGATTCGAAACCAGTCTGGGCAAATTGGCAAGACCTCATTCTACAATAAATCAGTAACTTAGCCAGATATGGTGGTAGTTCCATCTACCTGGAAGGCTGAGGCAGAAGGGTCACCTGAACCTAGCAGGTCAAGACTGTGGTGGCTGTAAGCATGCCACTGCACTCCAGCCTAGGTGACAGAGTGAGACTCCTACTCAAAAAATAAAAATTAAAAATTAAAGTAAATATAAAATTAGCTGGGTATGATGACACATGCCTGTAGTCCCAGCTACTTGGAAGGCTGAGGCAGAAGGATCACCTAAGCCCAGGAGGTCGAGGCTGCAGTGAGCCATGATTGTGCCACTGCACTCCAGCCTGGATGACAAAGTGAGACCCTGATTCAAAAACATAAATAAATAAAGTAGATCAGAGTATCAGTAAAAAGGGGAGGTACCTCTTCCTTTCAAGGATACTTCCCGGAAGTGAGTTGCCCGCCACACAACTTCCCACATCCCATGAGCCAGAACTCTAATTGTATGAGTGTGCTTAGCTGCAAAGGAAGATGGAAAATTAGTGCAGGCAGCTGTCATGGAGGGAGACTGTCAGCTGCATGAAGGCAGTGCTTGTGTCTCATTCCAGTGCCCAGGACGGTGCCTGGCACACAGTAGGCACTTAATGTATCAAATGAATGTGTGAGTAGTTGCGGGGAATTAGGCACCATACGAAATGGAGACTAGTCTCCAGGAGGCTGTACAGTCTCCTGGGGAAGATAGACTCGCAGAAACTGCAGCACAGGGATGCACACTGCAATACTGCTTAGCTGTCGAGAGCACTGTCAGCCTCAGGCAGACCCGCATCCGACTGTGGCTCTACCATTCACTAATTGTGTGACCTTGGACAAGCAGCCAACCTCTCTGAGCCTGCACCTGCTCACTGGGCAAAATGGGGGTTGTACCAATACCTTCTGCCTCATGGGGCTGTTGTGAGGGTTACCAAGAGTGCCTAGCACAGTGCCTGGCTTGCAGTAGGTGCTTTGTAAATGTTAAGTAGTGTTAATTCGTTTTTAAGGGTAAGTGCTGTGTGTTCTGTGGAGACATAGAGTAGGGTCTCTAGCTCTGGAAGTTGTGGAATCAAGGCGGCAATCTGAGTTGAGACTTGAAAGACAAATCGTCGCACAAAGGGAAAGATGTTCTCAACGAAGGGAACAGCATGTGCAGAGTCCAGTGGTTAGGAAGAACATGGCTTGCTCAATGTTCAGTGTGGCTGAAAGATGAAGTTGGGCTTGGGACGGGCTGAGGGTGGTTAGAGGTGAAGCTGCAGGGGTCATCAAAGGTCGGGGCCAGGAAGGGTGGATATACCCAGTAGGCACTGGGGACTCACTGAAGGTGAGGGGCGAGAGGAGAGAGAGAGCCAAGGATGTCGGGGGGCCAATCCCATCCCAGCTATCTGAGAATGGAACCATTGAGGTCAGATCAGTTTCTTGTGGCTTCACTGGCTGGGGCTGGATGCTGAAGTGAGAGTGACCCGCCATGGGCTGAGGGCAGGCTGGGTGTAGGCAAGGACTGGGGTGGACTGTGGCATCACCCCTCCCTCTCCCCTACCTGCAGCTTCGGGGTGCTGCTCTGGGAGCTGCTGACGGGTGAGGTCCCCTACCGTGAAATCGACGCCTTGGCTGTGGCATATGGCGTGGCTATGAACAAGCTGACGCTACCCATCCCCTCCACGTGCCCCGAGCCCTTTGCCCGCCTACTTGAGGGTGAGCAGGGGCCCTGTGGAAAGGGTAGGCTCAGCTTAGAATGGCAGGGGCCCTGGGCCCAGACCTCTCCCCTTCACATCCATCCAACCAGTGGACCCAGGAGTGAGGGAGCAGTGACTGGGACCCACTGGACTATAAACAACTTGTCCCACTGTTGCTTCCATCTACCCCCCCTCCCAAATCCCTTGTTCTGGCCAGGCCCAGAGCTCTTGGGGCAATCTGTTAGGATTCATTGGCCCTAGGGTTTCCCCAGATCCTTGAGCCCACCACCAGGTCCTCTGTAGGGAGTGGGTCCCTGGGTTTCTTTCTCAGCATTTCACTGAGTGAAAGACCAGCCAGGAGCTTGGCTTTGAATGTCTTCCCTCCAATTCCATAGAAGCCATTTGTCCACAGTCCCCTGAAACCCTGCTTTTCTCTGAGTGGGCCGTTTCCCCAGATCATGACCACTGACACCCATGTCCCCCCCACCACTGTCCTCTCCCCTCCCACGCCAGAATGCTGGGACCCAGACCCCCATGGGCGGCCAGATTTCGGCAGCATCTTGAAGCAGCTTGAAGTCATCGAACAGTCAGCCCTGTTCCAGATGCCACTGGAATCCTTCCACTCACTGCAGGAAGACTGGAAGCTGGAAATTCAGCACATGTTTGATGACCTTCGGACCAAGGAGAAGGTGAAGGCAGGGGCAAGGTGGGGAAGACAGAGCAAGATCCCTGAGTCCTGTGCCTTGGGCTGCTCAGAATCCCTTCCCCTGAACCTGCCTTTGGGTCCATGCAGGGTCAAGGGAGCCCTTTTTGCATTTTAAGAAAAAACAGCCTCCCGTTGGTGGATAAGTAAGAAAAAGGCACCCTGTACTGAAGTACTTACAGGTGATACTGCATGGTGTCTGGGGTTGGCCTTAAAATACGGTGGCAGAAGGGAAGGCAGTGTGAGGAGAAAAGGCTGGGGAAACAAGATGCACAAAGTATAGATAACTGGAAGCTGGATGGTGGGTGCCTGGGGGTGCACTGTTCTCTGCTGTTGTGGATGTTGGAAGTTTTGCAGATTGGAGAGTTGAAAAAACAAAAGAGGAAAGAAAAGCTAGCCCTTTTGGGGGCTAACACTAGTCCCCCGCCCTGGCACCCAGCTTGGCTAGTGGAGTGTGAGTTGGATTGTGAGCCCCGCGTGCCCCGCAGTAGGATGCCCTCGTGCAAGGCGCCAGCCAGACCCGGCCGCCTGGGCCCACCTGCAGGGGGCAGAGCGGCTGCGCCCCTGCCCCAGCCCCGCGTCTCCTCCCCAGGAGCTCCGGAGCCGCGAGGAGGAGCTGCTGCGGGCGGCGCAGGAGCAGCGCTTCCAGGAGGAGCAGCTGCGGCGGCGGGAGCAGGAACTGGCCGAGCGTGAGATGGACATCGTGGAGCGGGAGCTGCACCTGCTCATGTGCCAGCTGAGCCAGGAGAAGCCCAGGGTCCGCAAACGCAAGGGCAACTTCAAGCGCAACCGCCTGCTCAAGCTGCGCGAAGGCAGCAGCCACATCAGCCTGCCCTCCGGTACCTCCCGCGACCCCAGGCACCCCCAGAGGCTGCCGGGAGCAGTCCTCGCCCAGCGTGTAGCGCTTATTTTTCTCGTTTAACTTTTTCCTTGCTAAATATAACACACGTAGAAAACGACCAAAAAACTGGACAGCTAAATGAGTTATTCTAGTCACCTGCCATGAGAGCAGAGAGAACCTCACAGCCACCACGGCTGGCTTCCACATGGCCCTCCAAAGACAGCCTCAGGCCACTCCCTAACAGGAACCTCTATCTTGGTTTTTAGGGCAGTCACTTACTTGTAAACTTTTTAATAACTTTTAATCTCCCAACTTCTTTTGATTTTAGACAGGGTCTCATTCTGTTGCCCAGGCTGGAGTATAGTGGCACGATCATGGCGTACGGTAGCCTGGACCTCCTGAGCTCTGGCAATCCTTCCACCTCAGACTCTCAAATAGTTTGGACTCTGGGTGTCTGCCACAACATCCAACTAATTTTTTTTTAGATTAAAAATATAATTTATTTAGAAAGAAAATGAAAGAGAGTGAGAGAGAGGATTCACCTTTCCAAGGTACGAGAGGGGACCAGAGCTTAGGAAACATGGCTAAACATACCACAGCTCAAAGATCACATGACCACACCAGAGTCTGGTAAAGCAATGGCCGCTAATTTTTTGTAGATACAGGGTCTCACTATGTTGCCCAGGCTGCCAAATATTTTTAAAATATCTTTTAACCTGCCTCTTTTGGCCCTTACTAATACTTTGTTGAGGACCTACATCATTTGTCCTGTGGAGTTTTCTGCAGTCTGGATTTTGCTGCTTGCTTCCCCCTGGTGTCATTTACCATGTCCCACTGTCCCCCTGTCCCCTGAATTCTCTATGAAGTACTGTTAGATTTAAACCATATGAAGTTGCTGATATTTGACCATTTTGACTTATTAAAATGCAAGTTTCACATGGTTCAATCTAATAGCTAGATCTCAAGGCTTAATCAGATTCAGGTTCAGGGTCAATATTTTTTGTGTGTGTGTGCCATGACTGCTCTCCAGGTCGTGTGTTCACCCTTCAGGAGGCCCTTAATGTCTGGTTGTCTCACTCTGATGTTACAAGCCAGAGAGCAGTGCCTTGAATAGCACTGGCCAACAGAAATATAATGCAGGTCATGTGTGTAATTTTAAATTTTCTTGTAAGCTACATTTAAAAAGTAAAAAGAGGGGCAACCTCTTCAAATGCCCTCCCACTGTGGGAGCTTTTCTGTCCTCTCAATAAATCCTGCTTTCTCAAAAAAAAAAAAAAAAAGTAATAGAAGACACTAACTTTAATATTTTTTATTTAGTCCAATATGTCCATGCAATCAATACCAAATAACTATAATTGACATATTTTTACTTTGTTTTTCACACCAAATCTTTGAAATCCAGTGTGTATTTTATATTTACAGCACATCTCAATCTGGGCAGTAAATTTTCATCAAAAGTATTTTATCTGTATTTAGATTTCCTTTTTTTTTTCTTTGTCGTGGTCTCATTTTGTCACTCAGGCTGAAATGCAGTGGCATGATCATGGCTCACTACAACCTTGACCTCTTAAGTTCAGGTGATCCTTCTGCCTCAGCCACCAAAGTAGCTGAGATACAGGCTCACACCATCATGCCTGGCTAGCTTTATTTATTTATTTATTTATTTATTTATTTATTTATTTATTTGTAGAGACAAGATCTCACTGTGTTGACCAGGCTGGTCTAGAACTCCTGGACTCAAGCAGTCCTCTTGCCTTGGCCTCCCAAAGTGCTGGGATTATGGGCATGAACCACTGCACCACACCTGTGATCTAAATATATTGCCATGTATTTAGATCTCATAAAAGAGTTGAGGCCAGGCCCAGTGGCTCAGCCTATAATCCCAGCACTTTGGGAGGCCGAGGCGAGTGGATTGCCTGAGACTGCGGGTTCAAGACCAGCCCAGGCAACTTGGCAAAATATAGTTGGGCATGGTAGCACGCGCCTGTAGTTCCAGCTACTTGGAAGGCTGAGACGGAAGGATCGCCAGAGCCCAGTAGGTCGACTCTGGGGTGGCTATGAGCATGCATGCCACTGCATTCCAGCCTGGGTGAAGTATTGAGACTCTAACTAAAAAAACAAAAAAAAAAGTTAGAGTTGAGAAAGTAGATATACATGCCCAAGTTGTCCCAAACATGCTTAAATGCTTCCAATAACCAAACTATCTGTTTTTAAAATTAAACTTAAATTACTCTAAGTGCAATTAAATAAAGGTTAAGCTCCAGCTCCTCAGCTATATAAGCCACATGTCAAGTGTTCAGTTGCCACATGTGCCTAATGGCCACCATATTGGACACTCAGGCCTAGGTCCTTGGTTCATCATGGTTCTCATGCTTGTTTTTTGTTTTTGTTTTTTTGAGTCAGAGCCTCACTATGTCACCCAGGCTGGAGTGCAGTGGCACAATCACAGCTACCACAGCCTCAACCCGCTGGGCCTAGGCGAACCTTCCACCTCAGCCTTCCAAGTAGCTGGGAGTATAGGCGCACAGCACCATTCCCAGCTAATTTTTTTTACTTTATTGTAGGAATGAGGTGTCGCTATGTTGCTCGAGCTGGTCTCGAACTCTTGGGCTCAGGTAATCCTCTTGCTTCAGCTTCCCAAAGTGAGCCACCACGGCCCAATCTTGTGCTTGTTAGACCACAGTTCAATTGCTAAGCCTTACCTCCAGAGCTGTTAATTCAGGAAGGACCCAAGAATCTGCATGTCTAAGAGGTTTCTAGCTGGTGGTGATACTGCTGATCTGGGGACCACACTTTGAGAACCACTGCATTAAGGAATGAAAAATGGTGGTGTTCCCATGCTAACATTCCTTTTCTACTGTTACAAAGGAAACTTCCCCTTGGTTACCTTTGGAACCACTTGCTTAGGAAAATCTCTCTTCCTCTCTGCAGGCTTCGAGCATAAGATCACAGTCCAGGCCTCTCCAACTCTGGACAAGCGGAAAGGATCCGATGGGGCCAGCCCCCCTGCAAGTCCCAGCATCATCCCTCGGCTGAGGGCCATTCGCCGTGAGTAGCCCCCAAGGCCCTGACCAGTCAGTCAGCAAATACCTTTGAGCGCACACCTGAAACCAAGCTGGAGGAACAGCAGGGAACAAGACAGACAAGGCCCCTTTCCTCATTCTTCTTGGGGGACACAGGCAATAAATAAGTGAACAACTGAGTAAACAGGATAATTTCCAGTAGTGATAAGTGCTATAAAGGAATTCAGGGGAAAGAGTAAAAACAAGACAATGAATCAGTTTGGGTTCTCCAGAGAAACCAAATAGCATTTTTTTTTTTTTTTTTTTTTGAGTTGGAGTCTCACTCTGTCGCCCAGACTGGAGTGCAGTGGCCACTCCCGGCCACTGCAGCCTCAACCTGCTGGGCTCCAGCAATCCTTCCGCCTTAGCCTTCCAAGTAGCTGGAACTACAGGCGCATGCTACCACGCCTGGCTAATTTTTTGATTTATCATAGAGATGAGGTCTCGCCAAGTTGCCCAGGCAGGTCTCGAACCCGCGGGCTCAGGCAATCCACTCACCTCAGCCTCCCAAAGCGTGGGATTACAGGCTGAGCCACCAAGCCCAGCTCTTATATTTCAATATAGAGATTTACTGTGAGGGACAGGCTCATGTGATTATGGAGACTGGGAAGTCCAGCAATCTGCTGTCTACAAGCCAAAGGTCCAGGAAAGCTGATGATGGAGTTCTGGTCCAAGTCCAAAAGCCTGAGAACCAGGCACACCGGTATCCAGTGTCCAAGGCCAGGAGAAAGGGATGCCTGAGCTCACTCAGAACCGACTCATCCTTCCTCCACCTTTTCCTTTTGTTGGACCCTCAGTGCTTGAATGATGCCTGCCCACGTTGGTGAGGACAACTTCTTGACTTAGCCTACTGATTCAAATGCTCATCTCTTCCAGAAACACTTACAGAAATAATGTCTGACCTGCTATCTAGGCATTCCTTAGCCCAGTCAAGTTGACGCATAAAATTAGCCATCACACAAGGGTTGCTATTTTACATCTAGAAGGCCGTCTGAGGGGTGAGGTCTGAGCAGGGACCATCGTGGTAAGGAGTGAGACATGCCGAGACTTGAGAGAAGAGTGCCCCTGGCAGAGGGAACAGCAAAGGCAAAGCCTGGAGGTGAGAACAGGTGTGGCCTGCTTGTTAGCCCTCTTGGCTGGAGCGGATTGGATGGAGAGAGAGCGTAGGTTTTGTGGTCAGGGGGTCCACAGGGGCTGATCATGCATGGCTTTGAAAGCCAGGGTCAGGAATCTGAGCTGGGAAGGGTTCTTTTAAACGCCAACAGGGGAGCCCCAGAGGGCTGTGAGCAGGCAGTGATGTGACCACATCGACCGTTTCCCTCGGGCTCCTGTGAGAAATAAAGCTGGGGAGACCAGTGAAATGACAGGGACTTGACCTTGGGGCGGGGACTTCGAAGGGAGAGGTGGCCAAGTTGGGGCTGCATGGCAGAGTCCTGTCATTGGCATTTGCTGATAGGTTGAAGGGTGCAAGGCTGGCTCCCAAGTCTGTGCCACTCTGTCGTCCCCCCCACCCCTGCACCCTCCCCCCCAGCCCCCTACACACCTCTGTCTGGGCATCCTCTTTGTACCAGACCCTGAGGTCAATCCAGCAAGGGGCGCAGAGACAAATACCCACACAGTGGCAGCAAATATTCAGTTATGTGCAGTTTGTGGTAGAAACAGAAAAGAGAGCAGCTGACTCCCTGGGGTAGCTAACTCCCCAGAGCCTTGGAGGGCAAGCAGCCAATCAGAATGAGTGGGGAAGGGTTCGGCTGTGAGGGACAGAGGGGGCTGACACAGTGGCAGGAATAGCTTAGGAGGGACTCAGGGTCAGCAGCAGTGCTGACAGCAGTGGGGAGCTATCCGAGGATTTATAGCAGGGAAGAGTCATGACTGGAGTTAGAAAGATCCCTTGGACCCCCAGGCAAAGGCTGGATCTGAGGAGGGGAGATTGGAAGCCACCACCGCGTAACCAAGTGGCTTCTCTTGACCCAGTGACGCCCGTGGATTGTGGTGGCGGCAACAACAGTGGAAGCAGCAGCGGTGGCAGTGGGACATGGGGCCGCAGTGGGCCCCCAAAGAAGGAAGAACTGGCCGTGGGCAAGAAGAAGGGCCGGACGTGGGGGCCCAGCTCCACCCTACAGAAGGAGCGGGTGGGAGGAGAGGAGAGGTGAGGCGTCGGCGGGTGCCTCTGCACTCTGTGTCCCGCCCAGACCCCTGGCGGCAGCAGGGCTGATCCCCCACCTCTCCTGCCCCTGCAGGCTGAAGGCCCTGGGGGAAGGAAGTAAACAGTGGTCATCGAGCGCCCCCAACCTGGGCAAATCCCCCAAGCACACACCCATCGCTCCAGGCTTCGCCAGCCTCAATGAGATGGGTAAGAGGGCGAGGCTGCATGTGCAGGCAGTGGGCGGACATTCCCGGGTGGACGGGGAGCAGGACCCAACACGAAGGGGGAGAGGAGAGGGGCACAGTGGGCCCTGGGCATGGGGGCTTTCCCCGGGGACAAGGCGCACCCTTCCTTGGCGCTTCTGGGGGCAGAAGACTCGAGAGCAATACTTGGTGGGACTTGGCGGCCCTGCCGTCGGAGCGGGCAGTGGGGCTGGCCTTGCCTCTGCGGTCAGGGGTCAGGGCGCCCCGCAGCGAGCGACACCCCCTCCTTTTCCAGAGGAGTTCGCCGAGGCGGACGAAGGCGGCAGCGTCTCTCCCTCCCCCCACTCGACCCCGTCCTACCTCGCGGTGCCTCTGCCCGCCGAGCCCTCCCCCGGGGCGCGCGCGCCGTGGGAGCCGATGCAGGCCGCGCCCCCCGCGAGGGCGGGGCACGGCGCGCGGCGGCGCTGCGACCTCGCGCTGCTGAGCTGCGCCACGCTGCTGGGCGCCGTGGGCCTGGGCGCCGACGTGGCCGAGGCACGCGCGGCG